ATCTTTCCCTATGAACTACAATCTCATTGAAGAAACTCATTCTGTCTTTCACGAATTCTATTTTTTTATGCTCTTCATTCATTTTTTTTGTTCATATCTTTCAAGTTGGTAGATAACCAAAATATAATATACAAATCAAAAGGAAATACGGTGAAAGAAAAATAATGGAAACATTGGTTAAGAAAAGAATGAACCTTTTATAGATGAAGATCTTATTCAATACATATGGAGCAAACAACCATCAAATTTAATGTGCAAATGAACCACAATCAGAGGCAACGAGCGGAAACCTTTCGAACCGAACTCGACTTCGACCTCTTCGGGCTAGTATTTTGGGCTATCTTTTAAATTGAGTTTGAAGCTTTTGGATTTGATTTTTGGTGTGATTTAGCTCCTGTTTTTGAGGTATTTTTTTTTAAACAAGGTAATGAATGGCTATATGTTTTTTTTTTTGTTGAAAGAAATAGGTAGAAGGAATAAAATTAGTAGAAATTATCTTTAGCATAGAAGAAAAAAATTTGTTTTCTCTCAATATTCTTCCCTCTTCTCTTCTCTTCTTTTCTTCAAATATTTCTCTTCTATTTATAGGAGAATTTTCAAAAAATTCAGATTTTTTTTTTAAATTTTTTTATTTTTTTATTTTAAAAAAATTCCACTTACATTTTGCTTTTCTTTTTTTATTAAAAGAATTACCGCCTTTCTTTACTTTTATTTTTTAAATTCCAACTTTAATTACTTTTATCTTAATTAAAATCCCACTTTTTTACTTTTTTAAAAGAGAATTTCACTTATTTTACTTTTGTTAAAAAAACAATTCACTTTCTTTTACTTTTCTTTAAAAAATTCTACTTTATTTTAATTTAAATTTTTTTAAATTTTCAGATACCTTTATATTATTTTTTAATTCCACTTTTTTTTTACTTTTTATTTTTAAAAATTTTCACAAAACTTTACTTTTATTTTTTAAATTTTTCACTTTCTTTTACTTTTTTAAAAGAGAATTCCACCTACTTTTACTTCTTTTTCTTAATTCCATACTTCCCTTTTTCTTATTTTTTTTAAATCTCTCCCGAAAATTTGAAAAAAAATTAATATTTTTCAGATTTTTTATTATTATTTAAAAATAAGAATAAAAATAAAATAATATTAATAGTAATAATTCACCTTCTAAAATTTTGTATTTTTAACCTATAATAAAAAGTATAACAAAGCTAAAAATTTGTATGTTAAAACCCCCTAAAATATTTACATAGAAGAAGACAAAGAAAATAATAATTAAATATTGTCAAAAATTAGGTGCTCACATAAACCATAAGAAGAGGGTCAAGGAACTTGGAGCATATGTAAAAAAGTTGTGTCTTTAGCAGAACCTTCAATACAGCACAACCACCATCATGCAAAAATTAAAGTAAGTACCATTTTATCATTCTTGGACGTANTGTTACAGTACAAACTTACTGGCTTTTTTATCTCTATTCCCAACTCTTTGAACAGCCTTGTCACCCGTACAAGTTCTGTGATTGTTAAAGCCACGCTTTTATACTTTGCTTCTGCAGAACTTTTAGAAATTGTGTTCTGTTTCTTTGACTTCCAAGAAATAAGTGAATCTTCATGCTTGATGATGAAGCCTGTTACTGACCTTATAGTGTTTGGGCATGATGCCCAATCAGTATCACAGTATGCTATTAGGCTATTTTCCTTCTTGCTACTCATGAGTATTCCCAATCCAGGTTCTCTTTTTGATATACCTGACAATCCTTAGAGCTGCTTCCCACTGTGATCTCTTGGGATTTTTCATAAATTGACTAAGCGTTTGCACTGCAAAGGCAATATCCAGCCTAGTGAGGGTCAAATATAGAAGTTTCCCTATCACCTTTTGGTATTTTCCCTTATCTTCCATCAATTCATCATTTACCTCTCCCTACAAGTCTCCTAACTCTTTATTTGTCAGCTTCTGATTGAATTCAAGTGGTGTCCAAGCAGGTTTAGATGCACTTAGTCCTAGCTCTGTAATGAGTTCAAGTGCGTATTTCCTCTAGTTCATAACAATCCCTCTGTGAGATCTAGCAAATTCTATGCCCAAAAAATATTTTAATTCACCTAGGTCCTTCATTTTGAAGACCTGTTGCAGCCCCCTCTTAGTGGATTCAATGAACTCTAAACTGTTGCCTATCACCAACATGTTATCCACATACACTAGAATCACAACTATGTTAACATCTTGCCTCTTGGTGAATAACGAATGATCAAGACTGCTCTGAGTAAAACCATGTGTGATCAAGGCATCTATGAGTTTCATAGGGGTTGCTCTGATGGTAAGCAACCTCCACTTCCAACCAAGAGATTGTGAGTTCGAGTCTCCCCAAGAGCAAGGTGGGAAGTTCTTGGAAGGAAGGACGTTGGGGGTCTATTTGGAAACAACCTCTCTACCTCAGGGTAGAGGTAAGGTCTGCGTACACACTACCCTCTCTAGACCCCACTAAGTGGGATTATACTGGGTTGTTGTTGTTGTTGTTGTTGCTCGCTTGTTTCAGTCTATATAGGGATTTTTGCAAGCCTGCATACCATGCCTTTAGGCTCCCTCTGGCTTGCAAAACCTTCAGGCAGTGACATGTACACTTCATCATGCAAATCTCCTTGCAAGAAGGCATTGAAGACATCCATTTGATGAATGTGTCAACCCTCAGAAGCTGCTATTGAGATGACTGTGTTGATATTGACAATTTTAACCATGAGTGAGAAGGTCTCATGGTAGTCTAAACCCTCTTGTTGGTTGTAACCTTTAGCTACCAACCTTGATTTGTATCTTTCCACATCTCCATTGGCCTTGTACTTGATCTTGAATACCCACTTGTAACCAATAGGGACCTTGCCTGTTGGTAGTGGTACCAGCTCCCAGGTCTTATTGTCTTCAAGTGATTATATTTCTGCTCTCATTGTTTCCACCCATCTTGGGTTATCAACTGCCTCTTTAAAGGAACTTGACTCATGAGCAGATGTAAAGAGTGCCAGGGATTGGCGATATTGGGGCTGCAAAGTACTATAATCAATGTAGCTACTCATGGCATGTGGAATCTGTGACCTACGCTTCATAGGATTGACAATGTAGTCTGTCATCCAAGCAGGATTTCTTTTGGGTCTATCTAACCTCATCAATTGTTCATCATGAGATTGTTGAACCGCAACTGGTACATGCTCTTCTTGTGGCAAATTTGGATCAACTAAGGAGTTATTGTCAATGGAAACAGTGTCATGAAACACTGGGATCTCAACTGCTGCCTCATGCTCTCCAAAGTTATCTTCTATTGTAGGCATCCTGCAGTCTCAGTAGCTTGATCTAGAGTGGCAGGAAAATCATCTTCCAGGTGTACAGTTGCTGGCGTGGTTAAGGGGAAAACAAGATCCTTTTCTGCCGCAAAAAGGTGTAATTGTTTTGAACTTTTGTGTTTGAAAGGAAAAACGGTTTCCTTAAACACTACATCTATGTTAACAAAGGAAGAGTGATTAGTTATATCATATAATATGTAGTTTTTTCTACATTCTGAGTATCCCATCATCATAGCTACTATTGTTCTTGGCTCAAATTTATCATGGGAATTCATTTTCGTTGCATAGCATAAACAACCCATTGTTCTCAGATGATCTAGCTTTGGCTTCTGGAGATGAAACACTTCATAGGGACTCTTCTTACCCAGTACTTAAGAGGGCATTCTATTGATCAAGTATACTGCTGTCAATACGCAATGTCCCTAAAATCTTAAAGGAATTCCCTTTTGAAATCTAATAGCTCTAGCTGTCTCTAATATATGCTTGTACTTTCTTTCTACAACCCCTCTGTTGGGGTGTATACACACAAGTTCTTTAATGAACTATTCCAAAACTTTCGAACATTTCCTTGCATTCAGAACTTAGGAATTCACCTCAATTATCTGATCTAATGATTTTGATTGCTTTGTTAAACTGATTCTGCACCAATTTCAGAAAATTCCTTAGCATTATTATTACATCACTCTTCAACTTTAATGAAAACAACTATGTCATTCTAGAATGGTCATCAACCACAGTCAAGAACATTTTATTTCCATCAAATATTTGTACACTGTAGGCCCTCCTACATCAATGTACAACAAGTCAAAAATCCCTATAGCTCTACTTGTGCTATTATTGAAAGGCAATCTAGCATGTCTATCTAAGGGACATACAATACAGTTTTCTAATGCTGCTTTATAGTCACTTTGTCCTAAATTTAGAACATGTTGTAATGGTCCAACTGATGCATGTCCAAGCCTTATGTGCCACATCTCAATATCCTTCCCCTTTATTGTTGCTATCAAACTTGTTTTTGTAACCTTATTGTCTTTATTGAGGGATTGAGTGGAGTAAGTAGAGGCCATCTCTCTCTCTCTCTATTAATCTCCATCACCCTTCCATTATAAAGGTCCTGGAAGACACAAAATTCTGAAAAAACATAGCATAATATTTCGATTCTTTGGTGAATTTTGATACAGACAATAAGTTGTACTTGAAATTAGGTATGTATGTCACATTATCGACTAACTCATCTCCTGTAGTCTTACAAGAACCAATGTGTGACACATGTGTTACCCCTCCATTGGGTAGTGCACTTGTTTTGTATCAGCATTACTAACCTTTGTATAATCACTCATTAGCCTTAGATCAGAAACCATATAGTTGCTCCGGTGTCTACAATCTAATCTCTGTTACATTCTACAAGAAAAGCTCTAATAATACCTAACATATTTGCAGAGATGTCTGCATTGTTTTCCTTGCTCAGCAGCTTTAAGATTTGGTTGTATTGTTCCCCAGTAAAAAAAGGTCTTGCTATTCCTCCTGCTGTGTTGTTTTTGTCTGCTCCTGCCTGAAAGCTTGCTTCTCCACACTCCTAAGAATTCCTTTCCTACAGGGTTGCATTATGTGCCATATTGTTGCCAATTTTCTTCTTAAACTTGAATTCAGAGATATATCCTATTATTTTATAACATCTATCCCTAGTGTGTCCTCTTGACTTGAAAAAATCACACATGATTTTGTAGTTTTTTTTTGCCTCCCTTCTGATATCCAGTTTGTTGGTACCCTGCCTGATATGTAGGTTGTTGATTCCCTACTTGATATCCAATTTTTGTGGTCATTAAGGCAGTTGCTTTTGTTCCTTATGTAGAAACAAAAATATTGGTCATACTTCGTTGACTTTCCCTTTCCATCAGTATATAATAGGCTTTATGAACTGGTGGAGTTTGTGTCATCATCAAAATTTGACTACGAGCATGTTCATATGATTCATTTAGTCCCATGAGAAACTGTAGGAGTTTCAGTCGTCTCATGAATGTGACAGATTCACTCGACCTTGCACAATCACATCCCATTGGGGCTAGACTTTTAAATTCTGCCCAAAGAACCTTCAGCCTCGACAAATAGGTTGAAATTGAACTGGTGCCTTGACTGATTGTGACAATTTCTTTATGGATTTGATAAATTTAGGAACAATCAACTTTATCGAATCGTTCCTTCAAGTCACTCCAAACCTTACTAACATTTGAGGAGTAGACAATTCCACCAAGCAATTCTGGTGAAACATAGTTCATAATCCACGATAAGACGATAGGATTGCAGCGTTCCCACAAATCTACGAGATTTGGACCATAATTCTCCCTTTTGCATGTGCCTTCTATAAACCCTAGCTTGTTTCGCCCTAAGATTGCGATTCTCATCGCTCGGCTCCACATGGAGTAATTTTCTGGCCCTCGCAGTTGTAAAGAAATCAAAAATGCTCCGAAATTATCATTTGAGTTCAGGAATAGTGGATGGTTGTGACTCAGCTTTTCCGGCTCTGTATCATCGACCGCCATTGCCGACCTTCACCACCATACTTTGAGAAGATTCAGATGAGAATAAGTGAGACCACACTAATGGCCGCGTGGCTCTGATACACTACTAAAAATTCGGCAAAAACCGAACACCGTCCACCAATCAATTTTGGTTGGTCAAAAAACCAGCCAAAAAACCGACCAAAGTTGGTCGATTTTTCAAAATATTTATTTTTTAATTTTTTTTTTACGTAACCGACCAAATTTGGTGTAAAAATGCAGGAAATTATTTTTGTGTCCCGCGAAATTTATTTTTCAAGAAACCGGCCAACTTTGGTCGGTTTTTCATTTAAAAAAAATTAAAATTAATATTAAAAAAACTTACCAAAATTGGTCGGTTAATTCGGCCGGTCATTTTTAAAAACCGACCAAAGTTGGTCGGTAATTTTATTTTTTAATAAAACCGACCAACTTTAGTCGATTATTTTCATGCGAAAATACAATTAAAGAGTATAAATGAAATAAAAGACAGTCTTAAAACAGAATGCACCAATGGTCTAGTGGTAGAATAGTATCCCGCCACAGTACAGACCACAGTTCGATTCTGAGATGGTGCATTTTTTAATTACATAATTAAAATACCGACCAACTTTGGTCGGTGTTTTCGGCAATATTTTTTTTTTTTGGAATTTAATTGACCGACCAAAGTTGGTCGGCAATTTTCGACCAACTTTGATCGATATGCCCTTCCGGCCTTCAAATACCGTCCACGCGTAAATGCACGTTTTGGACGGTTGTTGGCTATTACCGACCAGCTTTGGTCGGCTTTTTTTTGAACAATTTTGTCCAAATTTCTAGCAGTGATACCATGTCAAAGCGTGAGCTTGAAGCTCCGCCGATCTGAGCCCTAATCTGGGCAGAGGAGAAGAATGAGAGAACTTTCTATAGAGAGAATTATTGAGCAAAGTATTTTTATTGAAAATGAATATTTCTACTTTGACAGCTGTCCACACCTATAACTACCTTCTAACATTACAAACTAACTAAACTCTTATTACATAATTAATCCTTTCACTAATTATGCCTAACTAACTAATCCTCAAATAACTCATATGAGAGCTGAATGAGAAAATTTACTTATAAATCTGGTGATGAGTTACAAATTCCAACCCACAAGAGCTGCTCTTTAATTACTTTTAGACACCGTTAGAATCCTCTGATGTTGTTTGTCTAGCTGGAAGCTACTAAAAATAGTGCTGGCTTACAATTTTGGACTTAATAAAGCAATTAAACCTTGTGAACTGTGATCATGAATCTTGACTGTGAAGATGTGAAAGCAATTAAAAAGCTTACTATCATTATTTCAACTATTTCTTAATATCAATTATCATGTAGATATACACCACAACAACGCAGAATAAACATATCTACACGCTTAATGACTAAATTCCTATTTAGTATTATTTTGCAAGAACATAAGCTAAGTACATAGTAATGGATATTTTTACTTGGGAAACAACTATAGACCATAACTATTTTACTGTGGTAGCTAATGTTTTTTTTCTTCTAATTAGAGACAGAATCAATCCTTTTCAAAGTGTACATGTATCAAAAATAGAATTGATTGATTCTCTTATAATTTTCCAGATAATATTTTCTTTTCTCCATATCTTTGAAAATTGAAAAATCATCATCCCCAAGAGTGTCACGAAACCAGGCGCTTTCATTAGTTGGAGGCACAACAAGTTTTATTACTTAATACATTTCTTTAATCCTTATCCAACCATTCCCATCCATTATTTTCTTGACCTAAACACACTCTTCCCAACTCCTCTCATA